GCGTTCGTTAATATATATAGAGAGAGCATAAATAATATATAGAAAAATATATATATATATATATATATATATATATATATATACACACACATACATTTGAATAATAATAAATTGTAATTTATGCATACACACACACAGAGTACATTAATTATGAATAATAACAAAGTATAATAAATAATAAATTTATATATAATGTACTTTATTATATTTTATTACTTTTTATAATTGGTATGTGTGTACACACAGACTAATTATTATTATTATATATAATATATTATTTATACACACTGTAATTATTTATAGTGTGTATAAATAATAATATAATATAATAAAGTAGTATAAAGTGAGAGATTATAGAGATATATTATTATATATAACTATTATTATTATTATTATTATACACATTTTGCATCCTTGGACCACTAGAGGGCAGAATATACCTTTTCAACTGGGAATTCTTCCTTTTAAAGCCAAAAGAAACTGCATTTCAATATTCACATATGGGCATTATGCATATTGGTATTAAGTTTATTTTGGCTTAAAGAGGAAGAATTCCCAGTTGAAAAGGTATATTATATAGTGTATACTATATAGTGTGACAGATTAATATTGCATCCCAAATCATAGCACATTAGCATGCTATTTTCACATTTTAAAGTATGCTTTTTAGGATAATGTTATCCACAACCTGGTCTCTGATATCAATACATGCATCTATGCAAGGACTCTGTAGTACCAATATGCAATTTTATGTCTAGTACCGGCATACTGGCTTACTACATACTGAAATACATACCTAATGTCATCCCCAATGCAGTAAGTAGTCTCTTTTCATAAGTGTTGTGCCAGTCAGTTGTCTGAATAGGCCTCTCATGAGTGATTTAGACTGTGAGGTTAGTTAATCGATCACTCAGCGCTGCAGCACACAAACCAGAGAGCAACATAACACATTCTGCACACCTGTTTAATTGGCTGCTTTATGGCTCTCGATCAACTTGTGCTCAGTAGAACAAACTCAAAGCACACATTATGTCAATCCGGCTCTTTCCAGGAGCTATTTGCTTATAAATTGCCTTATTATGAAGCAGTAGAATTCAGCCCGGGCAAATCGGGGACAAAGCACCGAGCAGCAAAAGACAGCGGTTCTTTTCCATCCAACAGCAGCAGCAGCAGCTAGAGTGCTAAAGGAACTATAGATAGCAGGAAAAAATGGAGACATTAAAAATTTGAAACCTGCAACTTTGCTGGATAGCTGCAGACAGTCTCAGTGTCTGCCCTATATCCTTCATGGGTGTGCATTGTTCATTATTTAACAATATTTTGAACAATGTTGATAACTAAACAGTTGCTGGGTGTCATCGACTTCCATAATATTTTTTTCCCTACTATGGAAGTCAAATGCTATCAGTAATAGCGATGTGCACTACAACTAATAAGTTGTTTAAATGGAAATTGTGTAACCTTTTGGAATAATTAATCTATGAATCAAACAGTCAAATAATTCCAGATACCTTATTATTCGAGTTGTTATGAATAGTTCAGCCATAAAACTCTACTCGCATTCTAATTGGTTCATTCAATTCAATGTTCCCAGCCAATCGGATTCGCATACTCATTACCGTTTACCTATATAACCAGGACGTATACAGTGAATGCTATGTCCGCGCGCTATGCGTGTCCTCATCCTAGCCCACCGCCTCCCCAACACCACCTGCCTAGATCTGCTACAGGGATTTTCCTTTCTTTAGCAGCAGCAGCATGTTTCCTTTTAATTTTATGATCCGAGCATTTAGCAGAAGCAAACCTACTTGCTCTGTAGCAGCAGCGTAGCAGATCTAGTCCGCCGAGACCAAACCTATGCACATTCTATTTACATTAATAAAGATTTTACAATCTATCCCGAGACTTCTCATGACTGAACTTATTTTCCATTAAACCGTTAAAGTTTACAACACTGACAGCAACAAAAGCAGCAGACGTGCTGAATGAAAATGCAAATTCACTCTCTGACTTTAGGTGGCGCTTTTGGACAAGCAGAAACATAGCGGTTACCATGGTTGCTGCGCTGATAAACACTTATTTTATTAGGCATTATGCGAAGATAACAAAATAAAAATGTCAAATAAATCTTTCTAAAGTCAGTTCCTTTTCATTCATAATGTTTCCCCATTTAAACCAGTAAATACGCTCCCATACCTTGCTTGTCCAAAGACTTTAGATGGCTTGTCTTCCAAGCCGACATTTCTGAGCAGGCACTGAGTGACACAAAAAAAAGTGCATGTATGCAAGGTCTGAGGTGAAATTAAATTAATTTGTTATCAATTCCAGATATCCACTTTTCAAAATAGTGTATTATTTTTTTTTAAGTAATATTAAAATGATTACATTTCGACAAGTTGACTAGTATTTCCAATGTCGACTAGCAGCAGCGGTTCCATTTAGTCTACTGGTCGGCTATTCTCACACATCCCTCAGCAACTGTTTGGTTACCAGCATTCTTCGAAATATATATATTTTTATGTGAGTAAATGATGATAGAATTTAAATTTTTAGGTGAACTATCCCGAGCACCTTTTTGCAACAGTGATTCAATAGTTTATTTTATATGACCACATTTTTTGACCTTCTCTCCGGTTTTGCCACAATATCATAATTTCACACCAGTATGGTATTATCGCTGGGCAAAAGCCTTTTAATATAATAGAAATATTTTTGCTTAATTTGGGCCTTTGAATAAAATTGAGGAGTTTTTTTCTCGAGTGTGAGCTCCATAATTTATAAGAGCCATAAAAGCCTGGTGTATGATCTATGAATGTTTACATTTTCTTTTTATATTTTGTCTAAAGGTTCAGTACACTTTTCTATTTTATAAAAGTGCATTTTTATGACTTTTATTTGTGTCAGGCATTACAGGGTTAAAATTGCATTTCCTTTGCAAAGCCTTTTTTTTTTAATTTACAATAAATATTGTATAATATCAATGTTCACTTAATTTTAGAAATCTCATTGGCTGGCAGTAGTATTGTGCTTATTATATCAGTTGACAGAGAGTCTTAAGAACGATTGTAAAGTCTTGTTGTTTATACAGAACTAGGGGAAATCAGAAACGTCACTACCCAGAAGGCCCAGCTGGAGCTGGAGGGTCTGGAGAAATACACCAACTACAGTATCCAGGTGCTGGCCTTCACCAGAGCAGGAGACGGAGTACGCAGCGACCAGATCTACATCCGCACCAAAGAGGACGGTACGACTGGCAGACGTCCATTCTTTCAGTCATGCAAAAAAGATCTTCTGTTGTGGAACTTCACTACTGTCAAATTTTGTCCTTCTGTTTGCCAATCTGTTAAAAAGTTAGTAAAGATCTCTCCAAACTGCCTGAATCTTTTTTCTGCAGTGCCAGGTCCGCCCGGCGGGGTGAAGGCAGCTGCAGCCTCCAGCTCTGTGGTGTATGTTTCTTGGCTCCCGCCGCTGAAGCTGAATGGTGTCATTAGGAAATACACAGTCTTCTGTTCCAGCTCGTATCCCACGGTAAGACTACTGCTCTCATACTAACAGGAGAGATATCAGGCTGGCTATTAAGTCAGTGTTAAACAGCGTGTGGGAGTGCAAAGGATTTTAGCACAGAGCCGGAACTGTGCCATGGAGCTAAAGGTGATGTTTATATAGCTTCTACTATGTGACACAAATTGTGACGCTGTCGACCTGTTAATCTGTCAACCGATGGAAGACACAACAAGGACTAACCATCAATCATTTGTTTTGGGTCTCGTTCAGGTGGTCAGTGAGTTTGAAGTGGCCCCAGATGAATTCCTGTACCGGGTTCACAATCTCAGTCGCAACAGGAAGTACAGCATCTGGGTGATGGCGGTGACTGCGGCCGGCCGGGGGAACAGCAGTGATGTCATCACCGTGGAACCTCTGGCAAAAGGTGAGTCGATTACCTTTGTTCTTCAGAAGCAAAGCAGCTGGTCTTTGGTTTTAGGGGGATGTTTTTAAGTTAAACCTCTTATTCAGTCATTCTGTAAATCACCCATTCTGGAGTAATTAGTTGTATTTTGAGTTCTTTTGGGCCTTCCCATGAGGAGCATGCCAATAAGCCATGAGCATCTTCAGATCCAAAAATATGTCATAGTGTACCAAAGTATATGGGAAAATATTTTGAAATATACAGTGACTTTAAATTATTGAGGGACTTTATGGTGGAGACATTTTAAAACATCTGAGGACCCTATCATACACACGGTGCAATGCGGCGCCAAGTGTTTTTTGCTAGTTTCAGCCCGACGCAGTTGTCATTTTCACGTCCTGTGCCACGTTGTTTAAATAGCAAATGCATTTGCGCCCATTTGTGCGCCCATGGGCGTGCTGGTCTGAATACGAGGTGTGTTGAGGCGCATTGCTGGCGCGTTGCTATTTCGAGGCAACTGAAATAGACTGTGCCGTTGACCAACAAAAACCTGGTCTAAAGTCTGACGCAATTTTTTTGTTTTGTTATTTAAAGAGCGCGTTAGTAATATAGCTATAGCTATAACTATAGGCGGGTGCACAATGCACGTACACTTTGCTTATTACACACACAGGGATGCGCAGCAGCACACAAACATTATTAAAAATTAAAGGATTAAAATGTAAATAATTATTATTTTGTACATAAATATAAAAATGCCTACATGTCATAATGGATAGTCTTTGCATGTATCAGAATCACGCGCACGAGCAGAACCGTTCCCTCACTAGAGAAGCGTTCAGTTTTTTCGCTTGTAAATTCCTCCATGGCGCGAGCGCAACTGGCTTTTAAAGGGAATGAGAGATGAGACTGATTTGTTTATGGCATGTTACGCCCAAAACACACCCATTACTCGTTAAGAGAATAGGGACAACCATTGTAGACAATCTGCCGGGCGCGTGGATTCGGTCACGCCCTAAGCACAATTGCGCCGTGCGCTTTAGACCATGCACTTAGAGCATAAAAAGAGGGCCCTGAATGTCATTGCAGTAAAAAAGAAATAAATAAAATAAAAAATCAAACCAATTGGCATCTGCGAACAAACGCTGCAGGAGCTTTTAGCAAATCTAACATCACTTTTCTGAGCCATTTTAGCAATGACTTTTAACATTTAACATTTTAATGAAATATTTTGTGTCTTTCTATGAAATAAACAGCATTTGAGGAGAAAATATTCTGCTATCTAATGTAGCAACTTAAATAAATAAAAATACTGACCCCAAACATTTGAATGGTAGTGTAAGACGGTGTAATTTGCAATGATTGTGTTCTATACCAAAATTGTGAGATGTTAAGCTTTCATAAAATCAATAAAATAATCAGTTGTGGTGTTATTTTAATCTTGTGGTGTTTTTTTTTTTTTTTTGTGGCAGCTCCTGCCAAAATCCTCACCTTCAGTGGTACTGTTACAACACCATGGATGAGGGATGTTATTTTACCCTGCAGGGCGGTCGGAGATCCACCTCCTGCCATTAAATGGCTGAAAGAGAGGTAAATACACCTATTCATGGGCGCAGACAAGAATGTACAGAACATACACTCACAAAAACAATATTAACATGAGTATGAGCATGTGATTTAAGGCAAACATGCTAACAATGTATGCTGAGTTCAGTATTATAACAGTGTATGCTGAGTTCAGTTTTATAGCGAAGAACATACTGCAGTGCAGCTCTAGCCTTTCATTAAGAGCAAACACAAGCATCTGAATACCTATGAGTAGAATCAGTCACTGGGGAATGCTGGGAAATGTCAAACTCTGCCCCTCTCATTGACGATTCACACTGTTTCTCGTCAGCGGGAGCCCGGCCCCTGCGGTCATTGATGGAAGACGCAGTATCCATGGAAATGGCAGCTTCGTCATTAAGACTGTGAAAGCAGAGGATTCTGGGTATTACACGTGTGTCGCTAGCAATAACTGGGGAACGGATGAAATAATTCTGAACCTTCAGGTTCAAGGTGAGGTGTGAAAGTCGGGCAGGATGGGCCCTTTCTGTATAGCCTCCTCAATGTGTCAGTTATTAAGCAGTGTTTCTCACTGTATAAATATCATCTTCAGTCCCCCCTGACCAACCTCGACTCACTGTGACCAAGACAACCACCACATCCATTACTGTGTCCTGGATACCAGGAGACAACGGTGGGAGCTCCATTAGAGGTGAGCCGCTTCCACCTTCAGCAGAGAAAAACAAAACAGAAAAAAAGAGAATAAAACTGTGTTCCATCTTTCAACTGATCATGATGCAAAAATCTTTCTTTCTTTTTTTTGGCATATTGTATTAAAATCGGTTTCGTTTTTGTAGGGGGAATGGCAAAAAAAAA